GGATAGACTAAGAATAAAGCGATCGTTTAGACGTCACGCTACTTTCTACTTTCCTTTATGGTCACGTGGTCTAATTAATTCAATAATGGGATCGCCTGTGTTTGCTCACTGGCAGTCGATGTTCAAACTCAAGTGTCGGCAGCGACACTTTATTCCTATATAGCACCGTTAAAAACTCTTTTCCTAAAAATAGCACACTGTTTATGGACTTTGGTTAAGTCTGTCAACTCAATAGCCCTTCGCCTTTCTGTAGTACTGCTTGTATAATTCCTCCATTTCCCTTTTACACATTAGCTCTTTGATACGTTATTACTATTATTTTCTTTTTCAATAATGTATTTATTGCATTCTTTTACGTATGTATTTATTATATTGTCTTGTGTATGCACTTGGTAAATTGCCTCGTGCGTTCTTTCTTTTTTCAGTTTTACTCTTTTCGCTATTAATAAACCTATCGACTGCACCCCTCAGCGTCTATAAATGTATATAAGTTTATATTGTAGAATATTGTTACTGTAGTGAGTTCGCTTTTCACTGGGTGTTTCAAATTTGTTGTCTTGTGTTATAGTTAAACTTAGTAAATATCTAATAAACCTATCAAATGTATGGTGTTCTTCAACCATTTATTTTGATTATTGAAATGTATGCTTCAAATGAGAGCCAGACAATAAATATATATTTAATATATACAAAATTAACTACTTTGTGGGAAAGCCCATTTTCTCTGAATTGATTTTTTTTTAATTTTATTTTTTTCCCAGTTTTTAATTTTATTAACGACCCTCTCTAAATTATTATTTGAAGTTAAACTTAGAACGTTTTTATCTCTCACTCCTATCTTTTTTCTACTGGGGTAGATCTGCAAGTAGCGTGCAACTGCTGAGTTCAATGTTGACATCTGCACATATTTTTAAGTTAACGCTTATTTTCTTATCATAAGCGAATATAGTTAGATTGCTTTCTCATCACTAAACCCAATTCTTTCTTTTTCTTTAGTATTTTAGTAGTATTTATTTAGTGATATTTAGCCTTTCCTAAAAAAAAAAGTACGTCAGAGGTTGTTCTATTTCACAGTCAGCTGATATATCTCGAGCCCTTAGACAATAATCAGGGCAGTCGTCAACCTGCAAGATGGCTCGTCAACATTCCCAGACTAGACCTTGAACCAGCAACTAAGGTGAAGAAAGCCAATTACAGCTAAAACTTGATATATATTTACATTTGCTTGGCGCATTGCTATGCGTTTCGCTTCAGCTAGAGAAATTGCTGTTTTTCCGATATTCGTCTGCGTGTATACAGCGTTGTAGATTATCGATAAAATCCTACCCATTTTCTTTCTTTACTATTGTGATGCGGGATTCGGTGGAAATGAACATCCTATGATTTCTAACCACTGCAGAGATGCTACAGCGTGGAAACAGGAAGTAAATAATACATACAGACATAAAGACTTGAAGCTTAGTACACTGACAACTTTTTACTAAATTTGCCTTTTTAAAACTTAGTTGAATGAAATTTTCAAATAGCTCGTGTTGGCTCTTGTTTAATCTACAGGACTTTTTGTGTCAGAAGTCCTTAACGTGAAAATATAAAAAGAAATAGAAAGAAAGAAATAAAGAAAGAAAATTAATGAAATAGAATGCACACCGAAAAAGGAGTGGGAGGAACTGTAACCGTAAAACACACTTACTGAACTTGGTGCACATAACTATAAACAATTGCACATGGTCTGGAAAGGGGTGACATGAAGCCGACAGCAAATGTAACCGCTTTTCTCATTGGTTTGGCTATACTCGTGGTGAATGCACTACAGAAGTAGGTCACAAATGAAAGAAATGTATTGCTATTCCACCGCGACCTTCCCTTCCACAATTACAGCTCTGTACAGACTGACATCTCGCAGATTTTCTTCCCTTCACAAGTTTGTCTTTACGGTAATTGAGTCGTGTAGTTTATTTTCGGTAGAAATAATATGTGCCTTGGAACAGTTTTTTTTTTTTAATCTTTGCTAGAATCCGAAGAAGACCCCTTTTCTTTTCTTTTTAAACTAAATTTTTAAATCACCTGTCCTTAGGACTTTTAAAAGTAGTTGGAAAAAGTCAATTGGTAAATAAATAATTAGAAAATGTTCTGCAAAAAAGAGTTGTCAGATGGAGTGTGAGGGGTAATACAAGTGTAAAAGTTTACTTGATGACCTTATTGGCTTTTTTACACTACACACAGAGAGAAAGACAAAGTAAGATTGTATAAAAGAGGGAAAGTAAAGATATAGATAAAAAAAAAAAGTGGGGATAAAGGAAGGGAGAAAGAGATACGTTGTCGGGTGGCTACATTCATTCGTAGTAGAGTAGCAGGAACACAAACCACCATTTACACAACTTACACTTTACCATTGCCTAAAAGGCAGTTATGTGTAAAACTTGTGTGCACTACACGCACACACACACTCAACATACGAACTTGCTCAATACAGCCACTGCTCTAATCTAAATCTATCATAGGATTAATTTCATTGCTTTTATGTCAATGAACAATTTCGAAGAAAAATGTGTAGTCAAAATCGCTTTTACTTTTTTTTTTTTTCTTTTTTTGCGCAATATATTTGAATTTAATTTTTCTGTTTCCTGTGGTAACAGTTTACAATACATTCATTCACGACTTTAAAATCAAGTTTATATTTTTAATTGCAACTTAAAGATTACCATTTATTTTTTAATCTGTATGTGAGTATCACATTTGTACGTGTTTTACAAAATACAAAATGACTAGAATGTTACAGCAAATGCAAATGTTTCAAATCTGCATTCTCTTGTGACTTTCTTCGAGATAAGAGCAGACAGACGAGCTTTTTAGCAACCATAGCCAGGCATGTATGACTGATCAGCTGCAAATAATTTTAATTTTACTCAAGGAAAAATGATCAGGGTAATGATGGCCTGTTCATATTTCTCATTCGAGCTACTGCAAGTTTTAAACTTATTTTTTCTCTTTAAATCTGGTCTGCGGTATGAACCATAAATGATAAATCACGTCTTAAAAAATGTGGTCAAATTTGTAAAATCATCGTTTCCCGCATTCTTTCTTTAAGGATTTTTTTTTAAGTTAAAATTTTTAAAATCAGTAATTCTCTCTTTGTACTAACGAATTCGGTCAATCTGGATAAATAAATACTAAGTGCTTCCGTGCGATATTGGCGAATATCTCAAGGAAGAGGGAATATTTTAAAGAAATTGACATCGGAGTTAGGTAAAAAAAAAAAAAAATACACAGACTGACCAGCTGGTGTCCGATTCGACCGAGTCTGACAATGAAGGGAAACTAAAACAGTGTGAAGGCCAAGGAGAGAGACAGACAGACAGAGAGAGAAAAAAAGAGAAAAAAGAAGAGTTTTATTAAAAAAACGTAAGTCTAGACGAGGATTTCGAGACCGACTGGCTGGTCAGCTGGTGTCAATAAAACATCTCGGTCCTCAAGCAGATTCGCTGATGTCATAGGAGCTTGACAGACAGAGAGGCAAGCGGCAGACAGCTGGGTTGGGGTGCTCCTTGCCTAGTTCTTGTTAGCTTGCTGGTTGAAATATACAGAAAGAAAGAAAGAGATGAAAATGATCTTTCTCTTCTCTGTCTCTCTCTCTTTCTCTCTCTCTCTCTCACACACACACACACACAGCCAGACGTTGGCATAAAAGAGTATTGGCAAGCTGACTTGCAAGCTGGTGTCATCGTAGACAGGCAATTAATGATGACGATAATGATGGTTTCTCTAGCAATTAGTGAATACAATACTACTAATGCTGATATTTTATTTCGAAAAAAAAATACTATGTTCACTTTACTATTGCAAAAGAAAGGATAGTTTTGTTTTTGTCGAGAATATTTGTACAATAAAAAAACAAATAAATAATTATAAATATAAAATAATTTAATGATTGCTTTTTTTTTCTTCGTCTACTAACTACTTCATTGGTGTCTGCGGTGCGTACACGAAGGCATGCAATGTATTAAATAAAAATGCAGAAAATGTGAAAGCGTTGTAGACCATGCAGCGAGAAGAGGGGCTCCGGGCTCGGTATTGAAGCACGTTACCTGAGGTGCGTTTAACTTTTCCTGCTGCTACACACCTTTTTAAGGGCATTTATTTAGGTCTACCTTAAATTTAAATTACAACACAATTACCAATTAGCACAGACACAGCAGTTTTTTTTTTTTTTTTTTTCCTTCAAATTCACAGAAAAATAACTAACTAGCCAGTGTAGTTCGGTGATCAAAGATGTTCAATGGCTGGCTGCGTACCTATCCTACGAAAAAAATCTTCGTTACAGCGATTGGTGAAGCAAATATGCGAATATTACAGAAATATTATCTCTACCTTTACTTGAATTTTCTTATTCTTTTTAGTTAAATTAAATTAGAGATTGTCGTGGAATTAAAAATAAAATGTTAGGCTCATCGGAGTTTACGGTTGAAGGAAATCGCAAAAGAAAAATAGAAGTAAAGGAATTGATTCAGTGAATGCCCATCTGTAAAAAAAAAAGGGAGGATAAAGCTAAGTAGAAAGAAGCTAGTTCAAGTCGGGATTTAAAATAAATAAAGAAAAGAGAAAAGTAATGACAGCCAGAAATGGGAAGGAGGTAGTAGTGACTGATAGATAAATAAACAAATACGGGGGAAAAGGCGTTTATAGAAATAAGCAGGCCAGTCTAGAAACGTGGGTTGGATGGATAGAACATGTAAAAGAAAAAATATAAGCTATCGGGAAAAGTAAGTAGAGAAAAAATAATTTAGGGTCGTAGTGCGGCATTTAGAATGATTTTTAAAGAGAACGAGTAACTTGGGAATGAGTATGAATGGAGTTAAGTTAAATCAAAGTGTAAAGAAAGAAACAAAACAAACAAAAAGAACAACCAAGGAGCAGCAGAAATCCAAAACGATAACACAGAAAGAGAATGTAACAACAAAAAAAAGAAATGGAAAGGAAATTGAAATAAGAATAATATTGAATCAATACATACTTGTAGAAAAGAAGAGAGAAAAGGTGGAAAAATAAAAGGGAAATAATATACAAAAAACTATTGGGCAATGTAAGGTTTTTAGTAGCGGAGTGATGTAAAAGAAATTGTAGGAAGAGAGAAGTGAGTAGCAACTGAGGAGGAGGTGAGTAAATGAAAAAGAGAAAAGAGTGAGCGGAAAGGGTGGGGGTAAGACAGAAGTTAAGAATGTAAGAAAAGAGTAAATTTTGTAAAATAAAGTGTATGAGTGAGTGGAAACAACAATATAAGAAATATATTCGTCTACGGAAAGTAAAGAAAAAAGCGAAAAGCGGTGACAGGCTAAGGAACTTAGAGGAAGAAGTGAAGAAATGAATGAATGAATGAGAGAGAAAGCAATAGGAAGAGTAATAAATGAAATAGATACGAAAGGAAAAAGAAACACAAGACAACAATGTGAAAAAAAGAGAGAAAAGTGAAGAAGGGGAGACTGAGAAAGAGTGACTAAAGAAAAATGTGATAATAGTGAGTGAGTTTCGAGTGATGATGTGCTAGCGCTGAAGTTGGAGGAACGAAATAAGAAGGAGGAGGAGAGGGTGCTATAAAACGCGAGGAAGCAAGGAGGGAGAGAGGAGAAGACAGGGTGAGAGAGGAGAAGACAGGGTGGGAGGGAGAAACGCGAGGAGGAGGAGGACACAGACTTGCGCAGTAGACAGTTGTTGGCGTGCACTTGCCTGTGAAACATGGCTGAGGTCGGTGGCGGCTCTTCTTCTTAAAAGTTGGAGTGCGGACGTCTTTCTGATCATCATCACTATTTATGAAAGCCAAAGAGTCGCGTGCGACTCCCTTTCACATCCCTGTTAAGTGGGAGTGTTTCGCTCGCAATAGAAATGCTTATTTTTTTCGGACATTTTGGTAAATATATTTACAGTTACACTTAAAAAGAAATTTCTTGAAACTTTCTTCCGGTCTGAAATCGTCCAACTTCCTGTTGCAAACATTTTAATTTTTTTTTTTTTGTTTTTCTATTTTATTTCGCATTACTTTATTTTCCTTTTCCAATGGTCATTTATTATCTTTTGGGTTATATTTTCCTCTGAATTCTAAAATATATATAACCTTATACTTATAGCTAGTAAAGTTAACTTAAATTTCGAAATAGAAATTAACTTATTTGTTTACAAAATATAATGTTAAAAAAATTTTTTTTTTCTATAATTTCAGTGTTGCTCCTGTTTAATACAGTCTTTGCTGAAAGTAAGTTTGTCCATTCATCCTAATTTTACCGGGTTTTTTTTTGTTTGTCTTAAGAAATAATTGTTTGAAAATTTGCATTGGTTGCAGTATGGGTTGTAGGTATCTTCATGAGATCGTTAAAAAAAACAGGATACGGTTCTTACTTCTTAGTGATATTTTAATTTTCAATTCCAATCGATCTTTGTTGCCGCACCGCATGTTATAAAAATGATAAATGTAACACTTTGAAATTGATTATTTTAAGAGAGAGTTTTTCCATGCAACCCTTTATTATTGCTATATATCTACAAATGCCACTAGCTGCACTTTACAGAGAAATTGTCTTGTTTTAAAACACCGCCAATGACAGAAAAAGGCTACTTCTGTTTGACACTAGTAACTTTGATATTTTTGTGTTGCTGTTGTTCTTTTCTGACTAACATCAAATTCCCTTTTAGTGTTTTATAAACACTAGTAATGGTAACGAACACATGGATTTGGTCGGACGAAATGCTGGCTCAACTTGTGTGCCAAATTTTGTCTGAATAAGGTGATGGGACTCGCAGAAGAAATATGAGAGTTATGTGGTTAGGCAAAGGCCTACAAAAATTGCCTGCTTGCATGAAATGTGCCACTCTCTTATCATAATACTCCTATGATAAGAGTCTTAGTGTGTACAGTGTACAGTACACTATGACTAGATTACTGATGTTGATCCTGATGGTGCTTCTTGTTTTACTGCTGCTATCAATGAGAATGCTTTTTTTTTTTTCTTTCTTTCTTTTTTTTTTAACGCTCTTTTTCACCACTGTAATTCTTTCTCCCCCATCTCAATTTTCTACATATGCATCCACGTTCCCTGTGTGTTTAGCAGCAGCGTGACTTTGCCCATGTGTTGGTGTTTTATGCGTACATGGATTTAGTGCGTGCATTTGTTTTGTACTGTTTGCGTGCTTCTCTGCTACCCCCACCCCACTTTTTGTGGCTTATAAATTGCTGTCTTTCCTTTTGCTCTGTAGTCTGAACAGCAATCCCTTTGCCGACCCTTTTGAATATTGATTATGATGTATTGTGACCGTCTCTCTCTCTCTCTCTCTCTCTCATATATACACACACACACGTAACAACTGTGTGAATACCGGTATATTTCAGAAAAATGTGATTATTTTCTATAACTATGTCTCAACTCCTAGTTTGATCGCAGCTCCCATACGTAAATTAAATAAATGCATGGAGTTTTCGATAAAATTATTAAATTTATCCGTTTTCCTTTGTAAATGTTAAAATTTTCCTTGATATTTTTTTTTTAACCTGAATTTTTAAATGACAATTGTCTTGTGAGCTTTGTCGAGATAGCTTCAACCACTCTCTTAGAAAGTTTGATTTTCCTTTTCTTTTTAGTTTTTTAGCTTTAAGTCTTTCATAGCACTTTTTCTTTTCTATCAGTCGTTCTCTGCTACTTCTGACAGCTTCATTTGTAAATTTCTTGCATAAAGTAGCATGTGCACTTCACCTTACCTTAAATCTGCCTTTTATTTTTTCCTTTTAATTAAGCTTTTTATCGCAATATTCTTTTTTTTTTATCGTTTCCATACTGCAACAGAATTCTAAATTTAGAGAGAGATACGACAACGCCAGTATCTTTATTTGGTAAGGCAGTTTGTTCTTTTGTTTTATTTATAAAGAATGTCTTGGTTCGGCGAATGTCCCTTCCTTTTTCTTCACACTGACAGACATACCTAAACTTGTTTTTTCTTAATCTTTTTTAAATGTCAAAACAAAACGAGACTTGCTTGCTGTGATCATTGTTTTTTATTTTATTTTTAATCTCTACAATTATTACTAGGTGGTTGTTGGGTTATTTTTCCTCAAAGACTTGAAGTCTCAGAAATAGCAGTTTTCCCTTCAGATATTGAATACAGTTCTATCAGTGACCACTCACTATGGATGGAATAATGATTATTCCATCCATAGTGTTGTAATATTTTAAGTTAGAATTACAAAGTTTCAAGAAATAAGGTTAAAAAGTCTTAATATTTCTTGTTCTTTCTTCGTTCAGCTAATTTTTATAAAGCTGTTAAATTTCTTAACAAAAAATACTAAAAATGAAGTAATTAATTTGGGCTTAAAAATCTCTTTAAAAATAAACGATTACTGACACGTCATTCGAGTAAATTCGCTAAAGAAATTCTTGAATATTATTTCCACAATCAGTTGCCACCCCTCTTACAATAGACATTTTTAAAAAAAATCGAAATTTCTTTCGTTAAACCTTTTACACTGTTATTGTAAGAAGTGCTTCAATATTACGTCAGCAGCAATCATATGACAATTAGATAACAGTTCGTTTTTAGAGAAACAAATTTGAATTTGTCAACAAACTAACTAAAACCTTCCTTCAGTAATTTTTAGAGAGAATAGAAGAAAATATCTGCACTTTAAATTTTTATTGCTTGCCCTTTATTTTGATCTTTGCTGAAAATAACTTTCTCTACATTGGATTTTTTTTTAAATCATTGTAACTAGTACTTTCTTTTAACAATTAAATTTATATTCATTTCTCTTTTTCCTGAGAGCAAAATTAAATGTCTTCTTACTTAACTCATCAAAAGGGTACTTTTACTGTGTACATTTTACTGTATCCGGTTCGTTAAAACTTCAGTTTTAATGTGGGTGCTTTTTTTTTTTTTTTTTTTTTTTTTTTTTTAACCAATAAATTTCTTAATGTCTTTAAGTAGATTTTATTAAGATTAAATGACTATTCATGTGTCTTCGATTTTTCTCTCTACCTCAACTTCCAATATGGAATGCTTTAAGCATTCCATATTCTATTTGTTTTTGTCTTTTTTTTTTTTTTTTTTCCATTTTGCAGATTTTTCTAGTGCAAACTTAGTAATAAGTGCTTGTAAGAAATTAAGTTTTAAATTTTTAAGAATTTCATAAAAATCGATTGTATTGCATAATCTTCAGTTGATTTGTGCAACCCCCAAAATGTGCACATCTCAGCAATCATCTGAAAAGTCCCAACATTCTAACACAGAAAATTTGAGATTTGTTATCAAAATGTTTTGTAAATCTGGTAATAAATTCTTAAACCCTTTCTTTTGGGGGGGGTAGTCGTGGTTATGACATTTACAGCATAAAAAAATACTTTTCTTAGCTTGATTCCTCAGAGATGAGAGATAGTGTTTTCATTTTATCAACATTTTATTTTTTTATCTCTTGTATGTATTTATTTATCATTTACAACATGTAATCATTTATATGCGCATAAGATTTTGGAATTAACTCTGAAAGTTATCAAAGTAATTTTCTCAACATGACAGTTGCAAGTAATTTACTCTTTCTACTGCAATATTCACATTTTAAAAAGTCTAATTGTTTTTTCTCAGTCTTTTTTTAAGGACCTAAGAAATCAAATTTAAACATTTCAGGTAATTAAATCATTGACGTCGGTAAAACATCAAGTAGTAAGTAGTGATATCTGCCCAAAGAAAGCTCTACTGATCTCATTTTAAAATTTTTTCTTCATTTGTATATTCGTTTTAAATCTTGGAAATTACGGAGTTTTGGGGTTTGTTTTGTTTGTTTTTTTTTGGTTTTTTTTCATCAAATATTCCTTGATTTGTTTCTGCAATTTAGGACACTGTGACCCACTAACAGGTCATCTATTAAATTCTTATGGACAAATTCAGTGTACACACATTTACATTGATCCATAAGTACTGAAAAAAAATATATAAATCAAGCTCTGTTTATAAGAAATTTCAATTGCTTAGAAATATTGCATACTGTTTTATTTATATATATATATATATACACACACCTTTTTAATTTTAACTCAACAATTTCTCATAAGCTGAAATATATTCTGACCTTTGGTTACTTATTCTTTTTTGCTTCGTGTCCTTGGCTTCTTACCTAATAAGCATATTGAAATGTGTTGTGTGAATTGTGGATGTTGCTGCTACTACTTCCACCCCAACCCAACTTCTATTCTGAGTAGTTGCAGACAACACTAACAGTTGTCAACCTGCTCTTCATTCCTGCTACTGCTGAGCCTGTTGCCCAGTCCAGTTACACTAAGTAATTTTTTTTTTCTGCCACAACAGCAGGTTTTATTGGCATATTGCACTGCAGTTGGAATAAGTTTCTGATCGTGTGTGTAAAATTATATATATATATATATATATATATATATATATATAAACTTGTCCTATTATCAAATGAATAATTGCTATTGAAGATATATGATTGGGTGTCAAGATGAATGACAAGCAATAATTTGACATTCTGGCTTTTTCCTGTCACAGTGCATATCTTAATTTTAAAATTCTATTTCTACATTTTGATTTACTTGGAAATCAAGTTTAAGATTTTTTAATTTATAAGATATTTTCATTTATTTTTCATTGGAAACATCCAAATTCTTCTTTCCCTCAAACCTTCAAGTTATAGATATTAAGAAAAGCAGATATGCAACTTTGGTTATTATTAATGAGTTGAGTG